AAGTTACAGGTCAGAGATGCGGAGGGTGAGAGGATTCACCAGAGACAGAATGGGGTACAGAACAGGCAGATCGACGAAGTACACTGCTGAGGGGAGCAGCAGGAGGGTCAGGAGAGGTCTGCTCACCATGTGGATCTCCTGCAGGGCAGGCTGGGATCGAACTCATGCGGAAGTGGCTTAAGCTTCTTTGTGCTGTGCTTTAACCCGCTGTGCCACCAGGGAGGGCCCCATATATTGTATTTCATCTGCTTATATAACGAACTTCACTGCTACTGATAATTTTACTATTAGTTTAAAAACTCATTAGTCAAATTTCATTAGCAACTACTTTGTCTTATAAACCTGGTTTACTTTTTGACACTCCTTAAACATTTGTTGCCTGAATAAATTATATGGGAGTCTAGTTTCTTAAAAAATGACAAAAATTTCTTTGTTAAAAATATCCTTTTGGAAATGACCTTTAGGGTATCAAAGTTAAAATAACACATTGAAGAAACAAAAATATTAGAGCTATCATAGGAAAAATCTAACATTCAAAATAGGAGTAAAATACAGATTGGTAACACTGGGTTTCAAGTTTTATACCATTGTTATTGAAGCAATCAACACTTTTAATAGACACTTGTTTTATTTTACTTTTTATTATATATGCATATTATATCTTTCTTCATTTTGCACATTTTTTTCAGAGACAATTAATTTAATGAATAACCAACCAAAGAAAAAGTATTAACTCTTCAGTGTTTTGTCTTTGTCTTCCATAGAAGTAATTGCTACTAGTAGATTCCTCCAGGATGGTGTCTGAGAATACTTAAGTCCATGGATTCAAGATAAATGTAAATCATTTATAATAGGTTGCTCTGGAAGACAACTTGGATCAATCAATAAATTTCTCTGCATCTCATACTTTTTTTTAATTAAAGACTTTCTATAATGTGACCTCTGACAACATTTTGATTAAATTGGGCATTTAATTATTTGACTTGTGAGAATTATAATAATAACAAATTATAATCAATAATCATTACAATAATTAATTATAATCAATAATATAATAATTAATTACACTATAATAATAGTAAATTAGACCATTTCAGATTTGAATTATTTTAGCAATTTCAGTAAATTTAAACTTATTTATAGTTTTAGATATGTATTACAGATAATCTCTATAGATCTTGGAAACTAAATGCATGATGAAGGCATATAAATCTATATCAAATAAAAACACTAATTTTATATCATAATCCCCGGAAGGGAAATAACAGACCATGAATTATTGTAGCACTAAAGAGAATAAAAACAACAAAAGGTATAATAAGAGTCAACATACTTATATATAAAAACAGAAAAAAATAACCTTTATCTAACTGTGAATTTAGAAAAAACACGGTAAAATCGATTTATGTGTCTCTGACACTTGCTTTCAGTTTAAATCAGAACTTTTTTTTAAGATTTATTTATTTATGTATACAAGAACTGGGATACAGGCCAGAGGGTTGGGGTTGAGAGCATTCACCAGAGGCAGAGTGGGAAGCAGAACAGGCAGGACAACAGAAATACACTGCTGAGGAGAGATCTGCAGCACCATGTGTGTCAACCATGGGTCAGGGATTAAATTCATACTGTAGCATCTTCAAATAGCTCTACAGTGCTGTGTTCTAATCCCTTGTGAAATCAGGGAGTGTCCTTAAATGAGAATTAGAATTTTTTTTTTTTTTTTAGGGGAGAGGTGAACACAGTCCTCCACCCACATATTATGCAGATGAGTTTCCCATATTTGGGGAAATAGGAGGGGCCAGCACAGCTGGATTGCAATGGATAAGCCTCACCCAGGGAAAACCACCTTCATGATCATGGTATCTCCCCTGCCAGGTAAGTATAAAATCAGAATTTTTTTTTCCTGAACTTTTGTTTTTACTCTATATTCTTAAATTCTAAATTGCAACTGCAATTTTAATAGTTCAGACTCATCCAAGTACTTTTTGTCCTTCAGCTTCTTTCCTTACACTTGTCCCCTTTTGTGGAACATTAATACTTTACAAAAAAGTATAGTAGTTTATTTTT